ATATAAGGAGATTTTGGAAAACATTTAGTCACATTAAAGACCGTTTAACCAATCCTATGTTGTGACTCAGGAGTGCAGATTTTATGGGTTTTATGGCAACCTCAATATTGAGGCATGACTTGAACCGAATTGCAATTTTGGGCCAGTACAAAAAAAAAACTAACATTTTTTCTTATTTTTAGCTACTTAATGACGGCAACGAATTTACACTACGCGTCAGTAATGTTGTACGAACTGACGCTGGAAAATATTCTCTGACTGCGGTGAATGTTGCCGGTGAAACGACCGCCAGTATAGAGCTGGCAGTAACTGAACCTACCAGGTAGAGCATATTCAAATAATATGAGGATTTTAAAAAATTGTAATATATTTACTCGTATTTTTCAATTATATATCTCTATTTTCTTAACATTTAGCTCTTCAACGATGGGACCAAGCTTTATACATGCTCCAGTATCTGTACAAACTCGACTAGGACAACGTGTGGAGCTACTAGCTCGTTTCACCGGACAACCGGCACCCGTGTGTCGCTGGTTTAAAGGTGACGTCGGGTTGGAGGATGGTGAGCATTTCAAGCATTTTCACTTGAGTTGTCCGTTTTCTTTTCGATTTAACCATACTTGGCAAACGCAATTCTTAGGCGTTGGCGGTTATGCAATCGCTGACAGCTCGGACAGCTCGACGTTGTCGATCTTATACCTCGAAAATGAACATGTTGGAGAATACCTATGCACTATACGTAACCCTTACGGTGAAGATCTCGCCACTGCTATGATCATGATTGAAGGTACGTTTAATCTCAAGACTTTTTTCTCCAAAAATTTATAAATCATTAGTTCACACTTTAATGTGCACGTACATGTATTTAGAAGTATAGGGCGTTTTGCTATTTATCCACTCCAGAATTAACAAGTGAACAATCCAAAATAACATCTCGCAAATAAGATTTTCTGCTCTACAACAATTTCTAACATAAAGTTATCCAACTACCGTTTCTTTTGTATCAAAATATTAAAGTAGTCTTCCATTCTTACAGAGATTGTCAAATATTCGTCTTAGCTCGCCTAAAAAACGTCAGCTATATGCTTGATTTTTTGCTCCAACAATTAAAAATGCTGAATCTAAGTTTTGACATTTATTGGCTGAAATTGTCGCAATTTCAGTATTACGATGCACTTTTGCGGTAATTAAGCGTGCGCAGGATAGGGACGTAGTCATAGCTCCAAAATTTGTTTCCTATAGTGTTGAGGCTCCTTATCTTACAAATTTTAGAACCTTCTAAGACTTATCAAGTCCTTTTTTACTTGTCTAGTGAAAAATAAATGCAAAAAGCAGCTATTGCGACTACCGAATGATGGCTTATTCAATGGAAGTCCTCTCCAAATTCATAATTAGAAGATCGCACGTCTCTTTTTTTTTGTTGTTTCTAGCTGTGCTTGGTTCCATTGCCGGTGGCATCCGAAGTTTTGCATTGGCTGGAAATTTTAAGGCGGAAAGCAAATTTATTCACCTCAAGCTACGTGTATCGTGTTGTCTTTGTCATAATCTCTTGCAAGATGGAGGTACTCTGATTAAGGACAAATCTTAACATTTTCGCAACCTCAACGTGTGCGTCTTACTTTTCCACAATAACTTTTTTTCCAAAATTTCCTTCTTGAAAACATTAATGCTACGGCCGTTCATCAGTTATGAATCTATCGAATGCTACTCAGCCTTAATGTTATCTGAAGACTTAAGTGCATCTCTACGGTAGTTAACAGTGTGTTCAATGAAACTGAATGGATTTTTCAAAGGTAAACAAAAAATCGGTTTGTTATAATGCTACTTCACAGTCAACATTCAACGCATTCACTCGGGTTAGTTCATTGAAGCTAAAATGATATCCATTACCGCAAACATCCAAAGGATTTAGGCTTTAACTTTGAGAACTCCACATAAATACTCATCAATATCTATTAAAAATAGGTTCAACCAAGTGGACACATAGTTTTGATGCAACGAAAAAAATGCGTAATTATTAAATTTACGGAAACTATGCTGTGCTGTAGATGAATATGATTGAAAGGCAAATGTTAATTTAATGATAGTATTTTTCAGCTGAAGAAAATCAGTTTATCTACACCATTATTTAGTGTATGGTAGAAACTCACAGTTTTAGTGCGCATATAGTAACAAGAAATTCATAATTGCAGCTTTAAATCGTTTCCAGTGTGTTTAGCCTCAAAT